CCCGGCTCAGGTTAAGGCGCTACCAGGCCCGGCTCCCGTCAGAAGCGTCTCCGCCCCCAGGAGAACCAGTCACTACGGCCTCCCGCCAACGCCCCTCCGCCAGACCAGCTCCCTGCAAACCGGCGAAGGGCCGTGGGAGCCGCCGACGTGGAACGGCAAGCGGCACGACGGGCCGTTTGACCTGGCGACAAGCGGGGCCGCAGCCTGGCTGGGGTAGAGGAGAGACTCTCTGGGTGGTGTTAGACCACAAAGGCCTAGATGATCCTCTGGAAGCCCTGAGGGACACTGCCAGGATGGGGTGAGGGGGAGGAGCCGACGGGGAGCCGAGTGGCGGGGGACAGGCCGTGGTGGAGGTCAGGGGCCGGTTGGGGAGAGCTGGGGAAGGTGCTTTTTAAGCTCACGGCAACGGAAGGGGATAGGAGAGCTGGGAACCTCCACGCGGGGGCCTACTGGGCCCTCTGGAAGAGAGCAAGTGTCCCCGCGGTGCCTGGAAAGGGCCACAGCCCCACTCCCTCCAGCGGCTGAGTCCCAACCCACCCCCCACCTCCGCATGGCTCACTCACCGGCCTCCACGATGGCAGGCTTGTTGCTGGGACACACGGACAGGACCTTGAGCACCCGGCTGGTGGTCCAGAGCAGCTTCTCGTAGGTGTAGCTGCGCATGATCTGCACCAGGGCCTGGGGTCCCCCATTGGCCAGAATGATCAGCTGCAGGGGAAAGCGGCGTTAGGGTGGCCAGGAGGGGGGGCTCCGCGGACGCTAGGTGCTGCCAGAGAACACCGATTAGCCCCTACCAGGCGCACGTAAGCCACCGCGCGGGTCACGACTGCACTGGCAGGAATATCTGCTCGGCTCTCAACACGAGCCCGCGGGGGGGAGGCACACCACGTGGCCACGAGCCTCACAGCCTGTTTCTACGAAGGGGGTCGCCCAGACAGGCCTGCCGGGCCTCACCCCACCACCAAGGTTACATGCCGCCTGCCCAGAGCAGAAACCCCCCCGGGCTTCCGTTTTCCTCCCCGCCGACGCACGCGGGACAGCGGGGCTCAGTGGTTTGAGCTTTGCTCCCCATTCTGGGCTCATGTAGCAATTTTTGCTGCCAGAAGGGGGCCAGGGTGCAACGCAGTGGGGTGAGTATGAGGGAGGAGTTTCTAACCCGCCAGACAAGCTTCCACGGAGGCCGTGGAATCGCCATCACTGGAGGCTTTAAAAACAGGCCGGACAAACACCTGCCAGAGACAGTCTAGGTCCACTGGGTCCAGCCATAGGGGCTCCGTAGTCCTTTCCAGCCCCATATTTCTACGCTTCTCTACCAGTGTAACCACCACAGGGCAGATTTGAACCTGGGACCTCTGGAGCGGAGTATAGGAGCCTCTACCCTCGGAGCTAAAAGCCCAGTGGCAGTTATACCAGGACACTCAGAGACTCTGCAGGTCCACTGGGCAACTTCAACCTGACTCAGACTCACAGGGCATGAGACTAGATGCCCACCGTGTGCGCAGCAAACTCAGTGCAGCTTCCCCACCCAAACGCCAACAGCCACCCGGCCCTCAGGGGACTGAGGCTTGGGCCTGGGTCTAGATCCAGGGTTGGAGGCTTGAGACCCACCCTCTGCTCCACACACCCATAGACTCAGCTACAGCGCTCAGGGGTAAGAGGAATCCCACCCCGAGTGCTGTAGTTTGTCCTAACACCCCCCCCCTCACTCCGGTGTAGCCACGGCTACGCTGCCGCAGTGCGTGTAGCGTCGACACGGCTGGACGAGCCGCCCCGTGGGTTTGCTGCTAGTCCGCGCAAGCAGAACTTCTCTGGCGTCTGTAGCCAGTCTCCGCCACACACGCTGGCACCGAAGTCTGTGTTTCTGTGCTATTCCGGGCAGCTAGAAGTGTTTACACACGGCGGCTGTTGTGGAGGAGTAGGGGAAAGAGGCTCTTGCTTGAAGGCTATAAATACAGGCCTAGGTGGGACGGACAGCTCAGAGGAGCCCAGGAGAGCTGAGCTCGGAGTGGTGGCGTCTGTAGCCAGTCTCCGCCACACACGCTGGCACCGAAGTCTGTGTTTCTGTGCTATTCCGGGCAGCTAGAAGTGTTTACACACGGCGGCTGTTGTGGAGGAGTAGGGGAAAGAGGCTCTTGCTTGAAGGCTATAAATACAGGCCTAGGTGGGACGGACAGCTCAGAGGAGCCCAGGAGAGCTGAGCTCGGAGTGGTTCGGGCTCGTTCTGACCAAGCAGCTGCTGAGCCGAGCCGCCGCGGCATTTAGTGTTGCCGGCCCAAGTATCCAAGCTAACGGGCACGTGGCTTGTTTCAACCTTCCATTCTCCCCCTCAGCCCATGGGCTTTCCAGGTTCTAACAGACAGGCAAGCTGGCCACACACAGCAGGAGTGCTGAGCCGAGCCGCCGCGGCATTTAGTGTTGCCGGCCCAAGTATCCAAGCTAACGGGCACGTGGCTTGTTTCAACCTTCCATTCTCCCCCTCAGCCCATGGGCTTTCCAGGTTCTAACAGACAGGCAAGCTGGCCACACACAGCAGGAGGTTTACGGACCCCAACCCCCACCCCAGGCCCGGGCCCTGGCAGCCCTGGGACGGACGTGCTGGTACAGCAGCAGGTTGTGCAGGGTGGTGATGGCGTAGAACAAGACTGACTCCACCGGCGAGCTACGGAGGAGAATGTGTGAGGGGAAGGAGGCCACAGCAGGGGGAGAGGGGAGGCCTGAAGGCAGCTATGGGGAGCGGGGGGCACCTTTATGCCAGTGCCAGGGAGAGCAGGCTGCAGAGCGCTACCAGGACGGGTGGTTCCAGCAGACGGCACCTGCAGGGAAGGGCTGCTGCCGGCCGTGCCATTTTATGCTGGTTGGGTGCGGCCGGCAGGGAGGTGGCCCCCGTAGCGCAGTGCCTGGCCAAGCTCAGCTACCCCCAGACCAGCATGGAAGAGACGCGAGCCCGGGCCTGGCCCTAGGAACGAGCAACCTGACGTCTCCCTAGCCCAGCGGACGCTTCTCTAGCACGGCCTCGCCCTGAGGGGTGAACGCAGCCTCTGGGAGGCCCGGATTGGACATCCCACCACGGCCGGAGGGAGGAGACCCGGGGTCTGGCCAAGCCCAGGAGGCACCAGCCAGCTCAGAGAGCGGATTCCAGGCTGCAAGCGAGCACACCCAGGTTCCTCTGGCAAATGAACAGGCTCCATTAAGCCTGCCCGGCCCTGCTCCCCTCCCACGCCCTGTCCAGCAAGCCTGGTAGCTCACGGGTACCTGAGCATCCGCACGAGAGCCGGGATGCCCCCGGATTTGAAGATGGCCAGCAGCCCCTCGCGGTGGTGCGAGAGGTTGTGCAGGATGCTGGTGGTGCAGCGGGCCGTGTCCAGGTCGCTGGTGTTCTGCATGGCGCGCACCACGGCCGCCACCACCTGCGGGGACTGCATCAGGGCGCGGCGCGAGGCCTCCTTCTTGGACAGCTGGTTGACGATCATGGCCGCTTTGCTGACCACGACCTGGGGGAGAGAAGGCCGCAGATGGGAGAGGGGCCCCGGCCGACGCTAGGAACCAGGAGCTTCAGTGGGGGTGAAGCTACCAGGGTGCAACGCATCAGCCTTTCTGACAGCGTCGCTCTAGGAATTATGGGGGGGCAGGCGTCTGGCCGGTGCCTAGACAAGGGGATCACAACGGTGCCTTCCAGTCCATGGGGCACTAGGGTGCAGGCTGCCCTGTCCTGCCCTCTGGCCAGAGCCAGCATCAGCCCCATGAGTGCTGAGTTCGCAGGTGGTACTAGAAGAGCCAGAGGGGCAGGGGTGGAACAGGGGACAGACAAAGGGACACAGCTGCCCTGGGCTGTCCCCCTCGCTGCAGCACGGCCGGCGGGCCAGGTGACCGCCGTGCTATGCGCAGAGGACGGGCGGCCGCAGCAGGATGGCCTCAGAGGTCCCGGCACCTCGCAGCAGCCTCCCCCGGCCAGAGCGACGCGGAGAGGAGACTCCCCGTGACGCCTCCCGGAGCACCTTGGGCGGTGGGTGTGGGAGGTGTTGCCTTTCCAAACTGCCAGCTCGGCCTCGCCCACACTCCGCCCCCTGCCCCGATCCTCTCCTTTCTGTGCGTCTAACCCCAAGGCTAGGGCCGGGCTCCAGCTGGGGCCAGGCACCACCTACCCCCTTCCGTGTGCCAGATGGGGCCAGGGAAGGCTGGTGCTGCGCACCGCCCCCCAGCCTCCATGCTCCAGCTGGGACCAGGAAGGCTGGGGCCATGCACCACCTGGCCTTCTCCCCATACTCCAGCCACGGCCAGGTGCTCCGGCTGGCACCGTGTGCTGCCTGCCCTCACCCCCCTGCTCCAGGGCCAGGAGGAGGAGGGGCTGGGGCAATGCATTGCCTGCTCAGGAAAGGGTAGTCTGCCCCTACAGCAGGGGAGCCCTTAGCTCCCATGGGGCCCTGGGTTGCAGGGGCGGGGCCTCAGGCAGAAGGGGGCGGGGCTGAGGACTTGCCTCCCCCAGCCCCAGGCAGACGTTTGCTCCCTTACCGGGTCCTCGTCATTCAGCAGCTTGGTGAGCTCCGGAATGGCCCGGGTGGCCAGCTCAGCATCGTCCTGGTAGTTGATCAGGTGCACGATGGCGGATTTCAGCATCTGGGAGGGCTCGGCCAGCCTCTGCACGTTGGTCTGCTGGCCCTCGATGTGCGTGGTCATGAGCAGGGAGCGGTCCTCCACCGTCTCCGGGTACATGGCAGCGCTGAGACTCCATCTCGGCTGCAGCTGGGAAGAGAGGGAGGGCTCGTTAAGTTCCCAGGCCCGGCAGAGTCCACACTGCCGGGCCTCCCGAGCAGGGCGCTTAGCACGACCCCAGCCACGTCAGCAGTCCCAGCACGGCGCTGGCGCTTCACGCTGTAAACAGATACAGCGGCCCCGAGACGAGGGAACACTTAATTAGGCAGCATAATTAGGGAATTGTCACACGAGGCCCGTTAATTAACAAAAATTGAAGGCATTTGCAAGTCGGGACCAGCTGGCTCAGGGGATTGGAATGACACGGGGAGGTCTTTCGCCATGTGGTATGCTGGGACAGACCCAGCTCAGAGGCTGCTATCGGTAACCTCTGGGCACTTCGGGCTGGTTCCTAGCAGATTCAATACCCCCAAATCACAGCAGTGCCTAGGACCAGGCTCTGAGGATCAGGGAACAGAAGAACGGCCAGACTGGGTCAGACCAAAGATCCATCTAGCCCAGGGTCCTGTCTGCCAACAGTGGCCAATGCCAGGTGCCCCAAGAGGGAATCATCAAGTGATCCACCCTCCTGTCACCCATTCCCAGCATCTGACAAACAGAAGCTAGGGACACCATTCCTACCCATCTTGGCTAATAAGCATTGATGGACCCATACTCCGTGAATTTATTAGTTCTTTTTCGAGCCCTGTTAGGCTACGTCTACACTGCACAGTGATTTCGGAATAAGCGATTCCGGAATAGTTATTCTGAAATAGCTTATTCTGAAATAGCACATCTATACTGCAGAGAAGCCTCAAAAGTAGTCCGAGGCGGGCTTCCCTAATGTAAGCATGCTCTCTCGATTTAGAGCCCCAGGAGAAAGAACTTAGAACGGCCCTGGTGAGGGTCTATTTCAAAATAAGCCGTCTGTTACTTGGAAATTATTTCGAAATAACCAACTGGCTGTGTGGACGCTCTCATAGTTACTTCAGAATAACAGCCATTATACCGAAATAACTTTGCTGTGTAAACACACCCTTAAAGTCTTGGTTTCACAACATCCTCTGGCAAGGAGTTCCACAGGTTGACTGCGCGCTGAGCAAAGAAAAATTTCCTTGTTTGTTTTAAGCCTGCCACCTATTAATTTCCTTTGGTGACGCCTAGTTCTCATGTTATGGGAACAAGTAAATAAACTTTTCCTTATTCACTTTCTCCACACCTGTCACGATTGTATAGCTCTGTATCATATCTCCCCTTTTCAAGCTGAAGAGTCCCAGTCTTTTTAATCTCTCTTCATATGGCACCTGTTCCAAACCCCTCATTTCTGTTGTCCTTTTCTGAACCTTTTCCAGTGCCCAGATATTTTTTTTTTAAATGAGGCGACCATATCTGTACGCAGTACTCAAGATGTGGACATGCCATGGATTACAAGAGGCAATAAGATTTTCTCTGTTTTATTCTCTATCCCTGAGCTAACTCCGCTGTAAGGCCTGGTCCACCTAGCTGCTTGGCTTAGGGCTGCCAAGAGGATTCTTGCACGAGCCTAGCTACAGGCTCGGAGAGGCGGGTTGCCCACACGGATGGACCCTCCCTTCTGACAACACAGAAGTGCCCAGGTAGAGCAGCACAGCTGCAGCTCCGCTGCTGTAGCGATGGAGTCGTCTTCCGCTTCCCCCCCTCTGCGGGGAGGGGGACTTACCCCCGGGGTCAGTCACCTGAGCCTTCTCCTCAAAGATAAAGGCCCGAAAGAGTTCAACAGCTCACTCTAGTTAGAGAGGAATAGAGGCAGAGTCCCTTCCCACCTCAGCCCAGCGGGGCTCTGGAGCTGCCAAAAGAGCCGTCACCCTGGCGACGGCCAGCTCCGTGCCCGTTTCATGGAGGTGTTTGGGGTGCAGGGAGAACGTCTGTCTGGCCCCTCCCTTTTCAGACGTGCCCGAGCTGCGGCTACTTTGCTTGACGCCTCGGAGCAGCGCTACACCCAGTCCCTGAGCAGCCAGGGCACGGAGAGGCACAGATGGCCGATCACCAGGCTGGGACCAGACGGCTGCGATCAGGAGCACAGCTTAAAGCACCGTGGAAACCGAGCTCGGAACGAGAGTGGCGGGTCTGCCGCACAACGCCCTCCCTGCACTCTGCCCAGCTGTCAAACAGTTCACCGGGGCGGTGGGGGAGGGGGAGGGAATGCATTTTAAGCTGCAGCGACAGCCCAAGCCTGGAGAAAAAAAAGTCATGCACCCACGGAGAGGGGCAGATCAAGTACAGGCCACGGGAGACACCGTGGGGGAGATGGAGAAAGGCTGGGACGGAGCAGCTGAATTTCTGCCCCGCCCCCACCGGAGTGTCTACTTTGCTCACGGCCAACTTGACATCTTGACCACCTGTCCCCCTTACCTGCTCCCGCGCCCAGGCCCAGGCCCTGGCCCTGGCCGCCTCCCTCTCTGTAGGTGGTGGTCTTGATGGTGTACTGCTTGCCGTAGAGGTCCTCGTCGTCCCCAATGCACCTGCTGCTGACCGATGGCACCTGGGTGTTCATCCCGGAGTGTATGCCTGAGTCGTAGGTGTAGGTCTGCTGCCACTCCGTCACCTTGATCGGCTGCTCCATCATGTTCATCACCTCCATGGCTGCTCTGCAGGGCGAAGGGGATGGACGTTACAGCCTCCCTCCAAGCACATGGGGGAACGGAGCCCGATTCGGATTCCCAGTATCCTCCCCGGCCCCCACAACCCAGGCTAACACACCAGCTGTAGCCAAGCGCCGCTTGCCCGTCTCCTTCCCACGCAGGCAGATCGCTATCTGCCATGTTCTTCTGAGCCAGATGACAAATCCCACAGCTCAGCACTTTGCCTCTCGTGTTGGGACATGAAAGGAGGCTGTGGCTGGTACAAGCTCCCCCGGCCCTTAGTCACTACAGAAGGGCTGGGTTAGTCTCGGTGCGGGGCATCCCCCACCGAGGGACGGATCCCCTGCTTTTCCGGGCAGTGCCCAGGCCTTTTTTCAAGAGCTGTTTCCCGACAGACGAGCCGGCAGGATGCGGGATCCTGTCTCAAAAGGCCGGCACTTGGAAGAAAAACCCAGGTTCGAGGTGTTTCTCGGACCGCCTCCGAGTACCTAAAAAAAATCAGGCAAGCCACACTATGACCGAGCAAAACAGCCTGGCGGTGGGTGCGGATTCCGGACTCGCACAAGCTGCTGCATCCAAGCCCCAGGGGAGAACAGGCAGCCACGTCTCAGGGTGGGTACTTACCCCGGACGCAATAAGCCGAGTAGCGGCACCTCTGGGCGGGATCAGTTACCCCGGCAGCTTCTGCGGACTCCGCTCTAAGCTGCCATGCCAGCGCCGATCTCCTTCCCGGGCTGGCAGCTGGCTCAGCCCCTGGGGGAGGAGACACCACGCTCCCCCTCCCGCGCAGCCCCCGCCCATGCTGCAGGAAGGAGTGGCTCTCCAAGGCGTGCCCCATTCCCGCTGCCATACCATGCTCAGGCTCTAAGCAGCCTCTAAGGTGGGGGCAGAGCCCGGATCAGCAGGGTGGGAATCTCTTGTACCTCCCCACGCCGGCCACTCCGGGGCTGGCTGCTACGCCGTGCACCCCTGCCTCCCACCTCGGCCTGGCCTTGGAAGACACAACCCCACCAGGGCTCAAGGGCAGGCTGCTCAGAGTCACTCAAAATCTGCCTGGCCCAGGGCCCATTTCCAGGAGAGGAGGCAGCGGCGCTTAGAGAAACAGAGCGAGCAAGGAAAGAGGCCCTGGGCATTGGCAGGCCGGGACACAGCTGCACAGCCTGGGAACTACATTTGCAGCTGGGGCTATGCGAGGGTTGTGACTGGCAACTGGATGAAGATTAGCCTGTTGAATCCTGGAAAAGCTCAAGTGAGACTGTCTGGGGAATAGAGAAGCACTTTAAAGAATTTGCTTTTATTACATTATCCTCTTAGAGCAGGGCGACTCAACTTTGGAAGCCCCGGGGGCCACAATGATACTCACAGCACATGCTGAGGGCCGCAACTCAAGTGTGGCTGCATATATATGCAAATATATGCAAATAGCTTTTCACACAATGCTCTGGTTGCTCCGGCACCTCCCCTCTGGGGGCTAGAAGTGCAGATACCCTGTCTTGTCTGTCCCAGCCAGCCCCTCCGCTTGCGTCTTTCAGTGCTCACCCCGCCTAGGAGACACCTTGCCGTCGTGAAGCGTGTTCCCAGTGGAGGCCATGTACAAAGGATTCCACCCGCAGGCCGCCGGTTGAGCCCCACGTAAACTCAAACCGCCCCGCGGGCCGCAAACAAACGGGCTGCGTGTTGAGTAGCCCTGCACTAAAAGGCTGAGCGAGAAGAGCAGCAGCAGACCCCCCGGGATAGGAATGCCAGCAACAGCTCTCTGGGAAGGGGGGGGGTCTCTCCAGATTGGGGGGAGGGTGGACAGGAAGGATGCATGGCTGAGAACCTGGTGAAATGATACTTAAAGGAAACAGACAGGGATGGGACTGATCTTTGGTCACCTGAACAGGAGCTTTCAGGGAGACTTGGGAAGAGGATCTGGGGTTTGCACCTGGCACATGCTGCTAGCAGCTGGGTTAGTCTGGTACCTGCTTTCCCTGCTCCCTCCCCCTTCCGGAGAGTGGGGGAGGGGGGATCCTCTGGCCAGTCCTAGGGGTGAGGCTTGTTTGCACCACAAAAGAAGGCGGCAGACTCAGAACGTGGCCATTTAGCGCCCCACCGAAGATGGAGCCCCTGCTTCCTCTCAGAGGGCCCCAGGAGGTTAACACAGCCAAGGCCGGCGCTTGGGCCAACCAAGCCGACAGCTGCCGCACACACAGAGGCTGCGCACGCTCAGCCCAGTCCATAAGGGAGCGTTTACCCCGCTGGGCTTGCTTTCCTGGCCCCCCCCAGGCGGGGGGGGGGGGGGGGGGAAGGGACTGGGGACTCGACAGGCACCTCGGACAACAGGGGAAGCCGGCCAGCCCCGTTATCGCAGGCGAGGCGTTGGCTGCATGGAAGGGGGAGGTAACTGCAGGTGGTGAAGCAGGTTTTTCCTTCAACCCTGCCCCAGCGCAGCCCGGCCTGGCCGCTAGGAGGGCCTATCGCAGAGTCACTTGCCTCCTTCCCACTGGCACAAGCCTGGCTCTGGGGCAGGGCTCTGCCCAAAGGGCTCCAAGCCAGGAAGGAGCAGCAAGCCACAGACCCCAGGCCGGGCTGTCGGCGTCCTGCTCACCTGAAACTACCTAGCACCCCTCCGGGGGCCAGCTCACAAGTGCCCCAGGACCACTCCTCGTTTTTACGAGTAGCCGAGTAAAGCGGAGCCCGGAGGCCCGGCAAGCAGCGCTCTGGAAGCCCCCCCGTAGCCAGCGTGCTGTGGGAGCAGGCGACGCAGGATCCCTAGCAGGGAAGCCAGGCTAGGGGAGAACCAGATGAGTGCGGCTTACTGCCTGGATGGCACGCTGGTTTACACAGCCACGGCTTCCCCAAAGCAAGCAGAATACACCATGGCCGGGGCTGGGGGGGTGGATTGTAATGGGGCCCCAGAACCTCTGCAATGGGGGGGAGAATGGGAGGAGGGCGCCACTGACCCCAGCGTACCTGGGACACACATTTATCATGCCGGCCTTTGTACAGGGCAGGGCTCACGCCGCAGCGCCCCCCCCAGCTGGGCCAGCAGCCAGGGCAGCTCTAGCCCAGCCTGCTCTTGGCTTCTGGGAGTGGAGGGCAGGGTCTGCACCCCGCTTTCACCGTCTGCACAGCTCCACTACGGGGCTCAGCGCTCGGCTGCTCAGCCCCAGCACCAACTACCTTCCTGCACCCTGGGGCTCAGTGGAGAAAAGCCAACGTTACGCCAGCCCCCCCCCC